GACATTCTATACAAACATATTGAGAGTTATAAATATGCTAAATAACTATATTAATACACGTTTTCACTCAGTTTTCTTGGTAATTTCACTATTAATACATAAAACAATATTCTTTATCATTTTGTTTCTTAAGGTTGTTAGGCCGTCGCGAACAAGAAGATTGACAGATAATTTTTATTTAGATAGGGAGGCAGATAGCAAACGCATACATTAATTGTCTGACCACTAATATTAGGTGGCAATATGCTAATCCAGACATCCTCTAGTTCGCTTTCCCAGGAGACCTGTTTGGCAGCAGAGTATTGTTTTACAACTGCTAGAATTACACCGCCTCCATCGTCTTTATTATACTTTTTAATACAAGTAGTATCGCGATCTCTACGGAAGACATTGTATTGCTCGTCAAACAGTTCCCCATCATATACAGAAGCATCGAAATTTGTTTCAGTTAGACATATCAAATTGTAATTAGAGTTCAGGAAATTTTTAATAAAGAATATCTATTTTACTTCTAGCTCTATTGAGATTTTGATAATATATATGCATTTTTTAAAATATGTAAAAAGATACCAAATAAATTCTTCGAGTTTAATTCAGATTACAAAAAGAAATTCATAAAGTAGACTACTCATAAAACAGTGTTATTAGGCGGCAGCTTTAATAAATAACTAGTGTCTCTTATAAGTATAGCAGGAGATTCTTGATTTTTACGAACATAGACGCGACCGTATTTTACCCAGACAAATTTGTAGTGGTTAGTTTTAGTCCATTGTCTTGCCGTGGCATGTACTGCCTGGCATTCAGCTGATAGGTGTTCCGATACGTATATATTGTATTTTTCGTCAACCAAGCCCATGTGAGATGAGTTTAGCGGACACAACTTGTTTGCTTTATTGAATCTTCGTACTGCAGAGATGATAGTGTCACGGTGATGTTCCGAGTGCAGCGTTTCAATAATATTGCGGGGACGGTCTGACGAAGGGTATATCTTTGCAACACGGCGGATAGATTTTATGTCTGACTAAGCAATAGGGCAATTTATGACCTTTTTTTCGGGTATTGACTGGATTTCAATGTTGCAGTTTCTTGAGGATTTGTCTAAGACCTGCAGAGTTTTATTCATTTGGAATAATTCTGATTGTAGTTGCATCTTTTCATCTTCAAGCTTGCGGACCCTGTCTGACAACGTCTTAAGTTCAGCTTTTACGTCCCTTTGCTCCTCCGCAAGAAAATCTGTCGTTACGGTGAACTCGAATTTTAGCTATTTGATCACTAACTTCCTTCCTTATTGTTCTGGTTAAAGATGTTTGAAAGCTTTCCAGTTTAGTATCCAACTTAAAATCTAAAAGTCTCGAGAATTGGTCCAATGTGATACTCGCGGCGGGAGTACATCTGGATGACGTGTTTGTGTTTTCAACTGTGTCCATGACTGGTCGACTAATTTCAACAGCGGTTTCATTAATCGTGAGGTCTTCGCAGGACATGTTAGATTCATCCATATTTTCTAGTTGTTTCTGAACAGGCGTATTGCAGTTGTTTCCCGTTCGCCTAGTTATGCTGATGCAAAGTGGACATTTCCAGGACCTTCTCAGTTCGCCCAGGTTAGCCTTGTAATAAGATTGAGATATGTTCAGGCATATATAATGATAATGTGTCATACACTGTTTGCATTGGAGTACTTCCTCGCCGGTAATTCGATTACGACACGCTTCACAATTGAAAGTGATAAAAATTCGCTTCTATAATATTCGCTTCAACAAAAACCGTTTATTTATCATACACATAGATCACAGTTCAAAGATTGTTTTGATGTATGACTTTTATGCTTACGAACACTATTACAGTACTTTTTCAACGATAACTTAGGAGCGTAACTAAACTAAACACATCTCTGACTACTCAACATATTAAGTTTGAATTCAAATAAAAACTTAAAACACTCACAAAAAGTCAAATTGTGCAGTTAAATACGATCGTGCGGTCTCAAATTACCAACTCGAGTGCGTAGCCAACACGCCAGGCTTACATCTTACTATAACTGCCAAAATAGTAGTTCTATTACAAACATTATGAGCGTTTTGCATGTGTTTGAAAATTTTTCTTCAACCGTCACTTTAAATCACAAATATGAATGTTTTAAGTTTATAAAGTAATTATTGTTTTATATTTCTGTTTTTATTTGTGTCACAGTTTATCAATGGATATAAGATGTATTTGGTATTATTTTGAGATAAAATAGACCATATCGGTTTTATTGCTGTGGGTAGCTCACCGTAAGATTTTTACTATAATGCAGTACACACGTAATGAACGGTTTTCTCCACTTTTTTGGTAAATCTAACACGATACAGTTGAATAACTATTTTAAGCAATTAAATTACGGGAGCACAATGTTCACATGACGGCGTACCTAGGCTGCACTAAAAGTATCGGGAATGGAATATTTCTACTCTTCCTGTCATATTAAAATCTTTTTATTTGAAAACTCCTTGGTTTTAAAAATTGAATGCCATTTATTTATTTAAAAAAGATTCTCGGTCTTGTCACAAGGTTTTGATTTAAACTTGTTTAATCGTTGAGAAAATGGAATTGACTCTAGAAAATTCAAGATCGATGATTTATTATGACTTTCGAAGTGGTTTAACACAAAAACAGTCTGTTGACCGGATGATTTCTGCATTTGGTGATGAAGCCCCATCCAAAAGCACAATTTATCGCTTTTTTGCTGAATTTCAACGTCGACGTGTCAAGCTCAGTGATGATCTCCGTCAAGGTCGTCCAAAAACTGCAATTACCCAAGAAAACGTTGATGCTGTGCGTAAGCTGATTGAGGAAGATCGACATGTGACATACCGCGAAATTTAGGCAACTTTAGACATTGGCATGAGTCAAATACAAATAATCTTGCATGAACAATTAAGTGTTTTTACAGTGGTAGAGCCACGCGGCAGCTTTGCTGTTGCACGTATGGGCCGGCTCAAACCGGGGTGGTACCACGACCTCACAGAATACCGGCGTGAAGTGGAAGCTCTGCTTCCACGTTTCATCTGGTGAGTGCAGGTGGCTGGAGGCCCAAATCCCCCTCCCCCGCCATCAACATGGTAGCGGAATTAAATAATGATAGACTACCCCAGGAGGGTACCAGCATCCTTGGAGAATCCCTCGCTGAGCACCCACGACCATGTTTCTCCACTTCTGAGCGTAGGTGCTCAGGCTGCTCCGCGTATTCTGGGGGGGGGGGGGCAAAATTCCGCTCAAGACTGCAACTGCTCAGGGCAAACGGAGCAACAAGACCAAGGCGACCCCTGCCACGCTGTCCGTGAATTTCTGCAATATCAGGGGACTTCACTCTAACCTAAACGCCGTCCACTACCATCTCAAGACGGCGAGGCCGGCTCTGCTCTTCCTGACCGAGACGCAGGTGTCCTCTCCGGCTGATGTCTCGTATCTCTCCTACCCGGGGTACAAACTGGAACACTCCTTTGTGCCTCGGGCTGGAGTTTGCGTTTACGTCAGAGAGGACATCTGTTCTCGACGCCTCGGCAGACTTGAAGGTTCGGACCTGTCCATCCTTTGGCTACGCGTAAACAGCGACGACCATCCGCGCGTCTACGGGTGCCTCTATAGGTCCCATAGCGGTAATGCCGAAACAGACCGACTCTTCGACCACGTCCAAATGGCTACAGATTCGTTGCTACAGCAGATCCCCTCCGCAGAGATCGTGATCCTCGGCGACTTTAACGCCCATCACGCCGAATGGCTTGGTTCACGTTTAACTGATCATGCGGGGAGATTTGTTCATGATTTACCTTGGCTTATGGTCTGACACAACTGGTTACTTCGCCTACGTGGATTCCAGATGTGGAGGATCATGCACCTTCCCCCACCTATGGTGCCACTCACGCTGAAATCGTAGTTGCATTCTGCAGGCTGCCGCCGTGTTTGGCACTATAGGTTAGCCGATTGGGATGGGATGCGGTCTTTCTTTGCATCCTACCCTTGGGGGCGGGTTTGCTTCTCGCCGGACGATCCCAACGTTGTTGCGGATTCTGTCACTGATGTGGTACTTCAGGGTATGGAAATTTTTATTCCTTCCTCTGTAGTGCCCATTGGAGGCAAATCTCAGCCATGGTTTGGTCGCTCCTGTAAAATAGCATCACGCTATAAGCAGGAGTGCTACCGAGCCTGGGCTGACGCATCAGCATCCCGGGATGTAAACACCAGCGCTATAAAAAAGAAGTATAATTCCGCCTCTAGGTCCTTCAAAAGATTCATTGCCAAGGCAAAGTCAAAGCACATAGGCAGAATTGGCGAAAAACTAGTTCGCCTTCCTTCTGGAACCCGTGCATTCTGGTCTCTCTCTCACACAGCGCTCGGTTCGCAAAGCACTCCTCTCCCTGGACATCCACAAGTCGAGTGAGCCCGACGGAATCCCGCCAATTGTGCTGAGGACGTGTGCTCCAGAGTTGGCACCGGTTTTAACGCATCTTTTCCGGTACTCCTACTCCCTAGGCGTAGTCCCAAAATCATGGAAGACGGCTTTCGTCCACCCGATCCCTAAAAAAGGCGACCGCTCAGACCCATCCAACTACCGGCCTATCGCCATCACCTCCTTGTTCTCTAAAACAATGGAGTCTATTGTAAACTGCCAGCTCATGAGGTACATTGAGGATCACCAGCTGATAAGTGGCCGCCAATACGGTTTTCGCCGTGGTCGGTCAGCTGTTAGCTGTCAAATCTGTGTATTTGTGGTTGAAAATTATCACATCAAATAAATCATTTGCCGTTAAATCTTTTGAGTGTTATTCTTAAACAGCACGTAATGATATTTTTATCTCATGGATTATAAATACATTGATTGCCGAAAATAAGAAATATCCAGGCTATAAGTAAGGGGACTGTACAGCCCGACAAAAACATTTACATGGCGGGGAAACGCGCAACTACATATTTTCTGCCCAGGAAATCTGTCATTGCCACTTTTTCTGGTTAACTCGGCAATGTGTGGCTTGCTACTGCTCAAGGTGGTCGGTCAGCTGGTGATCTTCTTGGTTTACCTAACTCATAGATGGGCGGAGGCAGTAGAGTCCAAGGGGGAGGCATTGGCCGTTAGTTTGGACATTGCGAAGGCCTTCGATCGGGTTTGGCACAAAGCGCTTCTTTCGAAGCTCCCTTCCTATGGGCTTCCCGAGAAATTGTGCGATTGGATCACCAGCTTTCTTGCAGATCGGAGCATCAAGGTCGTTGTAGACGGTGCAAGCTCCGATTGCAAGCCTATTAATGCTGGGGTTCCACAAGGCTGCGTGCTATCGCCAACGCTGTTTCTTCTGCATATCAATAATATGTTGCAAACCCGTAACATTCATTGCTATGCGGATGACAACACTGGTGATGCTCTTTACACCGGCCGAGACAATATTTCTCGGGAAAACGTCTCCGAATGCCGGAACAAACTTGTGTCTGAAGTCGAGTCTTTGCTGAACAGAGTCTCAGATTGGGGGCGACTAAATCTAGTCCAGTTTAACCCCCAGAAGACACAAGTTTGCACGTTAACCGCTAAAAAGAACCCCTTTGTCGTATCTCCTCAGTTTCAAGGCACTCCCCTTGTTGCCTCAGCCAGTATCGGAATCCTCGGCGTTGACATATCGAGTGACGTGCAGTTTCATGGTCACTTGGAAGAGAAAGCCAAATTGGCCTCTAAAAAGCATGGCGTGCTCAGCAGAGCGGGACAGTATTTCATGCCGGCACACCGCCTGCGACTTTACAAGGCGCAGGTTCGGCCGCACATGGAATACTGTTCCCATCTCTGGGCTGGGGCTCCCCAGTACCAGCTCCTTCCACTTTACCGCATCCAACGCAGAGCGGCTCGAATCATCGACGACCGAGTGCTTTCCGATCGGCTCGATTCACTGGCACTGCGAAGAGATGTTGCATCTCTTTGCATTTTATTTCGCATATACCATGGAGAGTGCTCTGAGGAATTGTTCGGATTAATCCCAGCCGCCAAATTTCGTGAACGCACTACGCGGCAAACGTCCCGATACTATCCACACCATCTGGATGCTTGGTGGTCCACCACAGTACGTTTCAAAAGGAGTTTTCTTCCGCGTACAACCTCTCTGTGGAATAGTTTACCACCGGCGATTTTTCCGGACCGATACGACCTGGGGACCTTCAAGAAAAGAGCTTACTCCTTTCTAAAGGGCCGGCAACGCACCTGCAATTCCCCTGGTGTTGCGGTTGATCATGGGCGGCGGTAGTCACTTAACATCAGGTGAGCCGCATGCTCGTTTGCCCCTTCTATAAAAAAAAGTGTAAAAAAGTTGTTTTCCCGATGGATACCGCATTCGTTCTGTGAAGAGCAAAAAGCGGCTCGCGTTACTTGGTGCGTCAGAACTCTCGAAAGATTCCACGCAGGATCCTCAAATGCTGTATACAACATCGTATTCAGGTGACGAATCCTGGATATACGCGTACGAACCCGAAATAAAAAAATAGTCACGAGTTTAAGTGTTCGAAAATGAGTTATAGCCAACAAAAATTGTTCGTTCACGGAGTGTTGCAAAAAAAATGGTGGCCACGTTTGTCTCCAAAACCGGCCATGTTATGACTATTCCTCTTGAGGGACAAAGAAAGGTTAATGCAGAATGGTATGCTATCATTTGTTTGCCACAGGTCGTTTCTGAACTCCGAAAAGAGAACTGCAACCGCCGCATCATCCTCCATCACGCCAATGCGAGTTCTCACACCGCACACAGAACAAAAGAGTTTTTAGAGCAAGAAAACATAGAATTATTAGACCATCCGCCGTACAGCCCCGACCTAAGCCCTAATGATTTCTGTACTTTCCCTAAAATAAATAATAAATTCAATTACTTGTTAACGCCTTTATTTCTATGCTTGTTTCGTGAATAAGAAGGAAAGCTTGTGTTACTTTTAATTCAGCCCATAATCCAACCCGTAATCACAAAGTTGGCTATACGTACTTTCCATTTTGTGTTTATACCGACCAAAAAAAACACTAAAGCGTCAGTAGCTTCATCGGAATTATCGGATATAATATCAAACTCATAGTCGACACAGCCATAATGCTTTTGGCTGCTAGCATGGTTTTCTGTCAGTTGCTTAATTTTTATTTCACCCATGACGAAGGTGCAATAAATTTTAATAACTGGATTACACTCCCCTTTGAATTTTAATGCCGTTAGCTACCCAGGTTAGCCATCGATGGTTCTGTACCACTTAGTCAATTTTCGTGGTGCAGGCAAATATGTTCCAAAACTTTTATGTTCATAGCGATAGGTTTTTGGTGAGTATTAATTAAATGTTAGGGCGAAACATCTTAACTATGGGAATATTTAGTTCTGGGCAGTTTTCCAATGTTACTTTTAAGTTACTATTAATTGTCTCTAAACACTGCGTTATGTATTGGTACCGATCGCGGTGTTGGTACCGACTTTGTTATATGGCAGCGAAACCTGGGTATGCCAGAAGAATCATAAAAGCAAGTTGAATACAGTGGAGATCCGATCTCTGCGTAAAATGTGTGACGTTAACACAGCCGATCGAAAGTGAAACGAAGAGATTCGCAATATGGCAGGATTGAAAGATGACCTTATTACAAAAATTGATAGGGGCGTACTCCAATGGTTTGGGCACGTTGAGCGAATGAGTGAAGACCGAATGGTGAAGAAAATATATAGAGCGAAAGTAAATATTAAAAGGTGTCGAGGTAGACCGAGACTAACTTTCGAAGACCATGTGAGCAAATTGCTCGAAGAGGGGAAGGTCAAGAGTACTCGGATACCTAGACGTGCATGTATGAAGAAGTTAATGAACCTGAAAGAAGCGAAAGAGGTATGTAAGGATCGTGACACTTGGCGATCTGTTCTCTCTGGCTACCCCGTTAGGGATTGTGCGTGAAGATAAGTAAGTAAGTCTCTTTAAAAGTTTGCTTTCTTCAATTCCTATCTTTTCTAGAACCTGTATGTTTTCTTCATTAATCAAAGATGTCTCTGTCAGCGAATCTAGTATTTCTAGCAATCTTGTAACTTTTTTCTTTAAATACTGTTATAAAATAGACGATGTAGTACAATCACTAAGATCAGACTAAAATAAACATATTTTTTAATTTTATACCTTGATATTTATTGTACTAATTAATAAGTTAAGATACTTTATTTTTGTATCACATCATCAATATAAATGTCTATGATAGAACAAATATTTTTTGTGATGACTTTTTGTTTTTGGTTTTTTGAGCCTTTTTATTTCTAGTATTCATTGTTAACAATACCAAATTACGGTTCTTTGGAATACCAATAGTCTCTGCACTAAGTTGCGGACAAACGGACAGACTGACATACGTGGCGAAACTATAAGCGTTTCTTGTTGTATCATTACGGAACCCTATAATAACGTGCTACGCTGACCATCTAAATAGATGACTTTAATTGTTCGAGTGCATTTTGCTAATGCTTGTCAGTTTTTCTCTTTTTCCTAGGGAACCTATCGATATAAAATATCGATATGGTAGCATCGCAATCAATTTGTCCGTTTTACACTCATAACTTTTTCTATGTTGACGTATTTAATCTATATGTGTGCGTAAAATGTAATAGTGTTGGAAATTTAGATTTATGTGTGCTATAATGACACAAAATGTTATTGAGTAGGTGTGCATACTGTCTATGTAGTTTTCCTCCACCGCAACAAAAGTGGCATACTGTTTTGGTTGTAGCATTAGGCGCATTACTCCTCCATTGGGTTGAATGGTCTATAGGAAACATCGATGTTTTAATTTTTAATATCGATGATCCATGATGTTTTCTTAGGGATTACGAAGTTGCAGAAACATCGATGTAGGTATCGAAAGCTTAACATCGATGTTCGATGTTTATCCTACTTATAACATCGATGTTGGCCATTACCGATTTTTTTTACACATGTACCAGTTAAATAGGTTAAAATTAGATGAATAAAAAATAGTAGTGTTGTTTATGGTTTATTATTAATGAAATTAAAGAAATTAATAATTTTTTAGAGACAAACAGTGATTAAAATAATGGAAAGAAATTAACAAACTTCTTCTCTACTTGGTTTGTTATATTTTTTCCGATAGTGATGAATGTTATTATTTTGATCTTTAAATGTCCTTATACACTCATAAATCCGGGATGAAAAAATTACTATGGGACCTAATTTACGATTTAGACGTAGGTTTTATATTAACTACTCCAATTGCTAAATAAAAATATGATTAAAAAAATTAACAAAACTACCCAAAAACAAAATAAACTTTTCCATCACATTTGTTCACAATTTTAAATCGGTAGTCCAAACAGTAAATATCCACAGCCGTTTATAAAATGTACAGTCGAATGCACTATCCAGTGAAATTGTCTATAGTATGAGCCAAATCGATAGAGAAAAACGGACAATGACCTTTCGGTCGTTTACCCAGGGGTTACAAACCTTAAAAATATATAGGCACATTTTATATGTAGTAGGTACTTTCTTTATTTATAATGTTTTTTTATTATTTTTTATAATGATTGATATAATATATATTTATTAACTATTATTAAAAAGTTATGTAAAAGATCGCTGTAGAAGAAAAATCATCTATTGTTATAAAGTACTTTATTCATTTAACAACAAAAAGCATTAATTTATAACACATATAAAGATTTAAGTGATAACGACAACGAATAAATACGTAGTAATTCAAAAAATAAAACTTTATTTTCAATATTATATAAGAACTTTATTTTTATTCGGTGCAATCATCACTCGTATCGGTGCTACGAAGTGGCAATGTTAGATTCGACTTATTTGGCCTTAATTGTGTATAATATTTTGATAAAGACTAGTTAATGAACACATTAAACTATAATATATTCAGAATCGTGTTGAGATTGCGCTGAATATTTAATCATTTGACAAAATCCACTACACATCTTAGCGTAATGATTATTATTCATTACAAACTAATTTAGTTGATATGAAATAAATTTTCGTTAATTTTTTATTTTATGTAGTAAATCTCTCGGCCGTATCGGCCGTGCCGCTTTTTTGCCATACCCACATCCTTTTCTCGAATCAGTTCAGGACCATTTTTGACTTCCATAACTTCGTTGTGGATAAAACTAAGAAGCCTGAATTTTCAGTAACCAAGCAGGCGTGGTAAAAAACAGTTTAATTCTTTATTTTTTTATATTGATTATGTGGAATGATATAATATGAATGTAGCGAGGGATGAACAAATTTTTGTTTAATTTAGTATCACGTGTTACGTAACAATAAATTACGCAACACGAATCGAAATGTTAAATGAATAAAAAGAAATTCAAAAATATTATTTATTATATGTTCTATTATCCACCGCTTTCGAAGGAAAGAGATAATATTATGTTAGAGTAGTAGAGATATTTATTAAAAAAAAAACAAAGATAGCCATTGGTAGAGCGAGAGGATGAGAACCTCTTATCACTTGACGTCATATCCTGTAGATAAAGGGGACAATCATTTTTGGGCCCACTAAAAATATTAACGTCCACTAATGGTATTACATCAAAAAAAAGACACCAAATTATAATAGTAAATGGCCTACAGATTTTTCGAAAATGTAAACGGAATCAAGAAATACGAAAAAAAATTAGTTGTTTTGATATTCGTGTTCTGATTAGTGTAATATGGGTAAAATGCGTGTACCTAATTAGTCATTTTGCAGCTTGTATAAAAAAGAAAACTATTTTTTCACAAAGCTGACTTAAAAAAAGATACCACTAAGAACTTTATGTTTAATTTCTAAAAATTTTAGCTAATATCACGTTATAACATAGTTCTAAATGACTGTGAACCAAAACGTTATTTTATCATTGACTTCCGGTAATTCCCAGCGGCCGGCGGCCGGGTACGGCGGGGCGGGGCGGCGGGGTATTACCTACGTCTTTAATCTTAACGGCATTGACGTTCGTTACGCTACGTGTTCGTGTTAAAGTAAAAGTTTAAAAATGAAAATTCACGTAGTTTTACTGCTTACAAGTGGATTAGTATGTTAATGTCTAATTGATGCAAAAAATGTTTAACCTAAGGGTTATATCATGCACGTAAGTCAAATATTAAATACCTATATCACATTTATGTATATAATTTGCCAATGACATTCGAAAATGCAAACTGACGAGTAAAAGTCCATGTGAGTAATATAAAAGTTTATTTTTTCCTCCTAGAATTTTGTAAAATCTATAACTTATAC